CACTCAATATATTTTAGAGAATAACGACAATCTAAGAGTTTCTCCAGACTCATCTCACACGCTTCCGAATGTTGTGAATGTAAAGCGGTCTCTTATTCTCAAGGAAAATCCGGGGAATGTATATCGCAGCGCAAAATACAGGAGACCATTGATCAATAGTAGCAATCGCCTTCATCGACCAGGAGATTTAACCAAGATGCGCAATTATATCCAATTCCTCACAACTCCCACGGTGGATACGCCTGGGACTTCATTACTTTTACATTTTGATAACAAGAGATACTTGATTGGAAATATTGCAGAGGGAACTCAAAGAGCATGTGTGCAAGGCAAGATCGGGTTGATGAAAGTTGGGGAGGTTTTTATGACTGGCAAGGTGGATTGGGCTTCGACTGGAGGAATATTGGGCATGATTTTGACATTGGCAGATGCGACCAGTGCTTCAAGAGAGGCACAGTTCCAAGTTGCAAACGCGAAATCGCAAAAGAAAGGAGGACGCGCTGAGAAACCCGACAAGGCCTTTTTGAATATACATGGAGGAGAAAACTTGACTCATCTACTTGCGACGGCTAGGAGATTCGTTTTCAGAAATGGGATGCCGTTATATACAAACGAATATCGACCGGAGAGAGAACAGAGAACGAATTGGGACCCTTCATGGAGTGACGAAAATATCAAGGTCTGGGCTATGGCTATTAAAGCGGAAGGAACTGCGAAGCGTCGTGGGAAGAGAAGTCACGATGAGTTTTCGGATGATTCTCTGGATGGCTCTCTTGCTGAAAAGAGCAAGGAACTTGAGCTTAAGGAAGCCCAAGAACTCAGGGATAAGGAGGATAATGAACATCAAATACGAAAGTCTGTCGTATCTTCTATGTTTGACTCTGATTGGAAGCTAGATACTTTGTATTCCATGAAGCTTAAGGATGTCAGAATGCCTGCCACCATCTTTGTTAGAAACTCAGATGGTAAGATACAAAGATATCAAGGACCTAAACCCGGAGGAAATCAAGAAGTTCCCGATATTGAAGTCCTTACTCGGAAACCTTGGCCAGGAGCACTGGTCGAATCTTTACCTCCGACTAAACCCTCTACCAGTTCAGTCTCATATATCATCAAGAACCATACTCAGCGTGGAAAGTTCAATCCCAAGGAAGCCGAGAGATTGAATGTCCAGAAAGGTGCTGATTATCGAACTTTGGCAGCGGGAAGAAGTGTGATTGCGACCGACGGTACCACTGTCACTCCAGAACAAGTTTTGGGAGTGAGCAAAGAAGGTACTGGAGTTGCAGTTCTCGAAATACCTGATGCCTCTTATATTAAAGGTCTACTTACACGTGAAGAATGGAAAGCAAAAGAGGTCATGGCAGGAGTTAAATTAATAATATGGATCTTGGGTCCTGGCGTTTTAGCTGACCCCAGGATACAAGAGTTCATGGAAGAGCGCAAAGAACTTGCTCACATTGTCTCCTCTCAAGATAATTGCCCAAATTATCTTGCATTCAGCTCGGCCGCCGCGCAAGCTATTCGTCTACACCTCCTCGATTCCGAACGTTTCCCAATTCCTGCATTCAGTAATACATCCGAGCCACCATCCCAGCCTGTACCATATTTCAAGGCAAAATTAGGGAAAACAATGCTACTCGAACCAAAATTCGAGATTCAAGATGACAAGTGCATCCCTTATCTTGATACAGAGCAGGTGGCAAAGGAAACAGATCCTGAAGTTCTTGCTCTAGCAAACGCAGCTAGAAAAGAGATTATGAGTCCAGAGTATCAAGCAAAGCTTGATGAAGTTCAAAAAGATATACCATGCAAGGATGCAGAAGTTATTACTCTCGGAACTGGTTCGGCATTACCTTCAAAGTATCGAAATGTTTCAGCCACTCTACTTCGAATTCCAGAATATGGTGATTACCTATTCGACGCTGGTGAGAATACTCTTGGTCAATTGAAGAGAGTATTTGGCAAAGAACTACCAGGTGTACTCTCTAGTCTCAAAGCAATTTGGATCAGTCATCTTCACGCCGATCATCATCTCGGTACTACTTCAGTCATTAAAGCGTGGCATGAAGAAACATCTAAGAATGAAGCGACAAGAAATAATAAACTTGCCGTAGCATCAGACCATGGTATGATTCATTGGTTAACGGAATACTCAGAGGTCGAGAATTATGGATTTGAGAGACTGGAGCTCGTTGAAATGACTCCTGCAGTCAATAACCTTTACGAAGAATTCACACCAGAAAAAACGAAAGCATTTGGTCTTTCGTCTATTGAAGCTTGTCAAGTAAGCCATTGTCATGGTGCTTTGGCTGTTGCATTGAATTTCCCCAATGGATTCAAGGTTGCTTACTCGGGTGATTGTCGACCTTCACAAGACTTTGTCAGGATTGGTAAAGGTGCAACATTGCTGATTCACGAGGCTACATTCGATGATGAACTTCAAGGTGATGCTATTGCCAAGAAACATTCCACAACTTCGGAAGCAATGAATATTGGCAAGGGTATGGGAGCAAGGCGTATTTTACTCACTCACTTTTCTCAGAGATATCAAAAGATACCAGTTATGGACAGTGAAGTTACAGATCAAGTTGCCATTGTTGCATTCGATTATATGAGGGTTAAGATATCTGATTTTTCGAAAATAGCGGCATTTAGACCGGCGTTACTGAAGCTTTATGAAGAGAAAGAATAGATTAAGGGATTGAATGGATGCAATTTCACGATTGCGAAGGAGAAGCATGGATTAGGATCGGTTATCACTTAATTAAGGTCTTAGGCAGGGCATATAAGGAAGTGTGTTTATATTGTATAGTATTGACAAAGGAAATTCTCGCGAGTGGATTTCTAACAAAAGAAAATTTACAAAAGAAATTCTATGTTGTGAGAAGGAGATTACTCCTCTCTTGTTTCATACCCCAAATCTCTCTTTTCTCTACACTCTAGATCATGAAATCACTGACTCTAGTTTCTCGATCACCGCGCTTACCTTCAGGGTGAACAACATGTGATTTTCGTGTGAAAGGATTTACTTGAGGGTCAGGACGTCGATGATGCGGTGCGTGCTTTTGTTTGGGTCTATTCTCGTTTTCATGTCTCGTAGTACGAGGAGAAGGAGGCGAAGGTGATGCTCGTGGATTCTCATAATGGCTTCCGCGATAAGCAGGTCGATTGTTTCTTGCTGGTGGATCTGCAAATGGATTTGTGAAACGAGGTTCGTCTTCTTCTTCGGCTTCGGATTCGGCGGCGGCGGCATTCTCTGGGGTTCCGACGAGTTTTCGATAGGCGCTAGCGCGCTCTTCGGCTTCGACTCCGGAGTAGGAAAGTTGAGAAGAGTTGTATACGCTGCGAGAATAGAGGGTTGGACTTCTTGCTTTGATGGGTCTGGATGCGTTGTGAAAAAAGCCGTCGGTGAAGACTACGGTGTCGCGGAAAGCGGCATGGACTCCTTCTGCCGGATGTGAATTATGGCTTGATGTGTTTGCGAGAGATGTTCTCGACATCATATTTGCATAGAAATCTATAATTTCATTCTCAACATCTCCGTCTTCCTCTCTATCCTCTTCAGGAAAATCGTGTCCAAGAAGTGTTTGGGCCTCGCTATCTCTATCGAAAGGGTTGTGGTTTCCAGCTAAGCGTTCTCGTCGAGCATCTCTCCGAAGTGTCTGAAGATGTTTGCGACATCGAGAGATTTCTCTCCCGAGTCCTTGAGATTCATGCGTTAAGCCTTCGCAGTCTTCTTGCCATGATGCCCATGCGCGTACTACATCGATCCAGCCATCCATTTGCTTATTCTTCTTTCTGCGGCCCCAGATCGAGGCAAAGAGATCGCGGATGATGGATTGATCGCCTCCAATGGTAGCGAGAATACAGGCTTCACAACCCGATGCTACTCGTTCGTAGCGCGGGTCGGATGGCTGCACTTGATATGCTTGACGATAAAATTCGGGCTGCATCCAGATACTATTGAGCTTTTTCATTCGAAGAACGAATTCTTGAACATTGACCGGCAATTGTTCGAGAGGGGTTTCAGTAGTAAGTCGTCGCAGACGAGTGGTGCATTCGGCGGTTAGTTCGAGGAATATCTTGCGGATGAGATAGGGGTTTAGAGGTTTGTGGGTGTCGCATAGTACGGCTTTGGTTTCGCCGAGGCGAAGCGAAGAGAGGGATGCGGCGACGCGGGAGATTAGTCCGCTGCATTTGGGGTGTAGGAGAGAAGGAGGGAAGGTTTGGATGAGAACTGCTTGGTCCCGAAGCCAGGAGTCGGTAGGGAGTGTACCGGGGAGTCGGGTCAAGAGTTGAGTGAGGAGATCGAGGGATGTGGTGGAAAACTCGCGGAGGGAATCGCTTGGGGAGGGGATGTTGGTTTTTCCTTGGGTGGTGGTCCGCGGTTGCGGGAGAAGCGGGTCGAGAAACTTTTGCATGGTTGCAGTAAGGGGGTTTCGGGACTGGTTGTCGGGGGTTCAGTTTATTTTACTTTTACTTTACTGTATATGTATGCAGATGGAAATTGTAAACTGGGTGTGAGTGTTGGATGGTTCGGTCTGCTGATAATCCTATTCGATTCTGGAATCTGGAATCGTCTTTGTAGTTTGATAATAGCATTGTTTTGCATTTCTTCTAGAAGGTGCATTTTCTTTGTCTGGGTTGTTTGGTAAGTATTATTATTTTTCCTTTGTTGGGGAAACTTGTTTGGGGGGGGAGTTCTCTGGGTGCTGAGCATTGTTTCCTTCTGGTTTCCTTTGTATGTCTCACGATCCTTTGTGTTGGGAATATAATGGGACATTGTTTAAGAGTAGTTCTTTAATCCTTCTTTGAAGAAATAATCCCATTGTATCTTTCCTTTCACGAAATAGATAGTGAAAAATCCCATAAAGAACCTCGATTCCTTGTTCACGAGATATAAAACCCTTCATCTCCCCTCCTAAATCACATTCCCTCTAGCATAGCTCTTCAGCTCTCCCCAATAACACCCACAACCTCCTCCCGCATAAACAACAATGCCTTTCCACATCCTTCCTTTCCGCTCCTTTTCCCTCTCCTCCCTCTCCTCCCTCTCCAAAACATCAAAATCGAAATCAAAACCCCACACCATCTCCAGAAAAGAACCAAACACCCCCACCCCCCTCCCCACAATCCGCTCCATCGGCACCCAAACCACCAAAACCCGCACGCACAGCTCCCGCTGGACGCAAACCCCTCCGGAGAGATACATTTCGTTTCGGGAACACCATGGAGTACAGCCTCCTAGGAAGAGTGGGGTGGAGTGGCCGGCTTGGTGGGCGGTGGTTGGGGGGGTGGTTTTGGGGTGGTTTTTTAGCGGGATGGCGCTGGGAATTAGGGGGTGAGGTGGTGAGGTGGTGAGGTTGTGGGGAATGAGAGAGGAGGGAGGAGGGAGGTGAGTTTTTTCTTTTCTTTCCCTTGGGGTTTGAGTCTTTCTCTTTTTCGATTTTTCTCTCTATCTTCCGTTTCTTTCTCTAATATATCGATTTCGCTTTCGATTTCTCATATCTACTAGTATAGTAAGTCACTCTTTTTTAGACTTCGAAACATCGATACAAAATCGATGAGAACGAAACCCCTCTACCAAAAAGAAAGATTCATTTCTCCAAATCTCCAAATATATATATACATACAGAATAAGTTTGTAAGTTTTTTTTTTCCCTCCCCTGTTTTTGCTAATTTAATTATTTCGATATTTGTTTTTCCTCTTCGTTTTCTTTCCTTTCTTTTCATCCTTTTGTTTTGATTTCGTTCTCTTTTGGGGTTTTTCGCATCCAGGTAAGTCCTCCCCCTTTTCCCCATTTTGCTAACCAGTCGAGTGTGTATACTATATAGTGGGTAGTCATTATTTTTTCGGTTCGGGGGTTTTTTGTTCGTTCGAAAGGCTATAATAGGTAAGTCGTTCCTCTTCGATTGTTCGCTAATTGAGTATAGGTATTTTTACACTTGTGTTCTGGGAGACGAAGATTGAGGTAAGTCATTTCCCACCCCCCCAAGTTTTGCTAATTGTGTATATAGGAATAGCTACTGTTGGTAATTTGTGCATCAGATAGATACTGATTGATTCACGTCAGAAATAACAACTTAGGTAAGTCATTCCCCTCCCACTGTTTGCTAATTGGGTATAGGTATTTTTACACTCATATTCTAGGACATAAAGATCTAAGTAAGTCAATTCCCCCCCCTCTTGCTAATCGAGTCTAGGTTTTCTTTCCCTTTTCTTTTCTCTCTCTGCCCTATTAGAAATTTCAAGTAGGTCATTCCCACCCCTGTTTTCGCTAATTGTGCATAGGTATAGACAGTTTTATCACCATTTCCCTTTTTTTAATCCTCTTTCGGATTAAAATACAGGCAAGTCCCTCCTTTCCCCCATCTTACTGATAGAACTAATAGGTCAGCATTGTTTTCTTTAATTATACAATTCAGTTATACGCTGCCGCATAGTTGTAAGAGATGAAAACTAGGTAAGTCATTCTTCATTTTCTGTTTTCGCTAATCAAGTATACAGGTTTTTTAATTTTATTTTCCTTCTATTCCTAGAATAAATTGATATAGGTAAGTTACTTCTTTCCCTCCTGTTCGCTAATCAGAAATATAGGTATCATTATTATTTATTTCGCTCATGCAATCCTAATACACACTACACCGCGCAGTTATAAGATAATATTTCAGGTACGTCACTTCCCCTCCCCTTTGTCGCTAATCGAGAGTAGTTATACACCTTTTTAGTCACGAGTAGTGTCAACAGCAACCTTGTCTCCGATGCAGGGTAAATCAAGTAAGTCATTCCTCCCCATTTTAGCTAATCATTTAGGCATATTCATACTTTCCTCCTTGATATTCAGAACCCTAATAGGTCGTAAGGAAAATTTTCAGGTAAGTCACTCGCTCCCTTTTTGTCCTTGAGTTTTAGTACTCTCACATATTAGAATATTTGTTTAAATGTCACATACACTAGTGGGTAATTGTACCATTTCCTCCCCATCTCTATCTCACTGTACTAATCGACGACATAGGTAAGCTCAACACCGGCTGCTTCAAACTCCCTCATACTTTAGTACTCGTGATCGGCACAACCACATCTAGCGATAAAGATACTATACAGGTAAGTCCCCCTCTGCCTCTTTCCTTTTTTTCGCTAACAAATCATTTTAGGTAGGTAAGCGACATATTCTTCTTCGCACTCCCTCATTCTTCACAACTCATAATTATGTGATCATAGGGAACTGGCATAAGTATATATACAGGTGAATCAGCCCTTCCTCTTCCACCAACTAACTATATAGATGACTTCAAATTCATTTCTTTCCATTGCACATTTCTCGATGGACATCAAATTTAGGAAATTAATAATAAAATACATTACAAACAACCAAAGATGGAATTCTTCAATGTGTGCCAGGTGAACTAGATATATGTACCCGTGAAGTCATCATTAAAACGAAAATATACTCACCACAATTTGGAAGTCTCAAAATTCCCAAAATCACGGGGACATGTTAACCTTATGTGAGTTGAGTCGATGTTTGGAAAGAACGAGGGAAACGGGAAAGCACGCTAAGCGTCAAGCATTTCCTATAACACCGTAAAATCTCACGATCGTCATCTTCACTTCCAATTTCCGCTTTTCCCTTCCATAAACTTCATTACTACGAAGATGTTATCGAATTTACACACATAGAACAAAGATCTTGTTTAATAATCGACCTATAACGAATCTAGTGGCAAATATGTGGCCGATTTTTCAACCGGTGGGAACGAAGATGAAGAGAGAGACTCAAGGACTTCTTCATAATGGATGTGAATCGGTCTTCATTTCTTCCAATCCCACTGGTTGAATCAAACTCACCAGTTCCCAGACAAAGAACTTTCACTCCGGTGATTCAAAGAAGAAAATACACTTATGTATTAAGGACTCTGAGGAAAAGGATTCAGAAGACACCACACGCAATAATGGTAAAAATGGTATTATCAAAAACAAAGGTACATACTTCCTGCTCCCAATGCTATTCAACCAAGTCAACTAATCGCTAGATGTAGCAACTCAAATTCGAAGAAGACGATATAAGCCATCGCATCGATGAGTGAGAGCGAGTAGATAGCGCACAGAGCAAAATGTGTTGTTGTACAGAGAAAAGGCCTAGCGAAAGGAAGTGATGGGAAGAAAGAAGAGGACTTGCAATATGGAAGAGAGATGAATCGAGAAAAGGAGATGGTTAGAACGGAAGAGGAATAACAGGAAAGAAGGGATTATGCGAAAGATTGGAACGTGGTTCAAAGAGATTGATCAAGTAATTTGGTTAATGATCTATGTGGTGTCTATAGGTAAAGAAGGGATTACGCGAATGGCTTGAACGCTGCTAAGAGAGATGAGCGACAGAATTTGGTCGATGACCTACGTGGTGTTTATGAGCAGTGGGTGGTTAAAAACTGGGTTAGAATTTGGTTATTGTGGAGAAGTTTGGAAGTTATGAAGTTATAGATAATAAAGATATATTTATTTAAGGAGACTACCTACAACATACATAACACAGGTGATAGTCACAAACAACCACCGAGTCCTGGCAAGAAGGAAAAAAAACAGACATCTCTCCAGCAATGATCCACTCAGTACAGACATTCCCCTCATCTCCCATTTTCTTTCCATCGATACATCTATCCATCCATCCATTTAGCTTCTCCGCCCATCCACCCTGAACCATCCCAACACAACACAAAACCCTCAACCCCCTCAATTCCCCAATTCCCCAATTCTCCAAACCATTTGTCTAGATTTCAGCACCTTAAATCCATCTTGATCCTCTCGCTAGATACGAATGTTCCATATTGAATATTGAATCTTGAGAGTTGACATTCTACAGTAAAGTTAAACTAGTCTGCTCTGCTATACTACCCACACTCTACCATACTAATCCACAACCACCCCAATCCCTCTTTGAAAAAGAAGCATAGCAAAAAAGTAAAGCACATAAAGCAACTCCGCCAAAACTCAAGACTCAAGACTCGAGACTCAACAAAGAAAACACAATCATGGACAATCCACAACCTCAGCTCCCAGCCCCGAAAGCCACCAAACAAGCGACTCACCCACCCGATCAAGCGAAGCGAAACGAACACCCAACCCACCCACCTACCTATCTTGGCTCGACACCTCCCTTTGAATTGAGTCTCGATCGACTATTACTTCAATTCTCAGAGTACGTGCATATACGTCCTCACCATGTAACAAAATTGCATCTAATTCATGCAAATGCAAATAAACCATTGAATTTCGGATATTCATTATTCTTTCTCCGCTTATAAATCATAATTCTTAATATATTTCTTTCTTTCCAGCTCTCCCGCTTTCCACTGTCATTCCTTCATATCTATTCTCTTCGCTCCTCTGAAAACTGTATTCGCCATTCCATGCATACATGCGTACAATCCATCATTCATCCACCCATCCATCCCAAACCTCCCAAAATATAATAAAAATATAACTCAACGCTCTACTCCCAACCAACCAATCAACTCGCTCATTCATTTCCGTATTCCCACAAACCCCTACCTCTTCAAATCCCTAACCTTAACCTCTCCACCTCCTCTCCCCGTTTTCCCCTTCCCATTTCCATATCCTTCAACCCCCATCTCCCGCATAGCTTGTTCAACCATATGTACAGCTTCTATACACACATCACCACCATTTCTCCAAGCTCTGAGTGTTACACCTTGTCCATCAAGAATATCTTTTGCGCGTTTCCACCGACGTCTCCAGAGATCTAATTTTTTGTTTGCTGGTGCTCCACTGGATGTTCGATGAAATTCATCGTCTGATGAGTCAGGGGAGCTGGATATTGAAGAATTAAAGGTAGATTTTCGACGTGGGGGAGGCAGTGGCCCACTGTTTGATGATGGACTGTATGATGGGTCGAATGCAGGTTGGGACCTTGAATTCGATTCACTCATGCCTGGTATATAAGATCTCATTTCTGGAAGATTGTTATAGGTCTCTGCAACTTTATGACGAGCACTAGACATGTAACCTTCACTAGATGATTCTGATAACTCTGCACTACTTTGTGCCTGCTTTAATGGATGGTTGTTTACACTTCCATGTATAGCACCTGAACGACGAGGTTTTGGTGGTGGTGGAGTGTTTTGTTTTGGGGGTTCAGATGATTCGGGTGGAACCATTGTGATTGTACTTGCTCCACGAAGCGATAAAGGCTTAGAAGGTCGAGGGGGAGGAGCTTTCCCATCACTGGCGGATCCTCGTCGTGGAATATTTGGTACTTCCATCTCTGACATAGATCGAGGTACCACTTGCCTATGAGATTTATGTATTGGTTGATTCTCAGGCTCATCTCCGAAATCAATAAGTGTTCCCATGGTTGGTCCATTACTGGTCTGAAGTTTAGTTTCCGAGGGAACTCTGGGAGGCAAAGATGGTCGTTTCTCTGATAGCTCAGATTTACTAAATGTAGATGATCTCCTGCTATCAATGGATTGCGTTCGAGATTGTGTTCGAGATTGAGGCTCAAACCTTCGACGATCTCCACTCAGCGGACCCAATGCAGGATCAAAGAAACCTATATCTTCAGGTGTTGTGACATCTCGAATAAAGATCCCAAGGATTTTCCCCGGATTCGCTAAAACGACATCGGTATAGACTTCTAAATCTGCTTCACCACTATCTCCAATCAAGATGAATTTCCTTTCTGAGAAATCTCGCATGATCTTCTCAAGGGTACCCTTCTTCCTCTCTGCAACAGGTTCAAAAATACCCTGAAGCATTCCGCTGTATTGTTTCAAGTGAAAAGATCCAGGTGGTAGCCCTGCTTTTCTGAAAAAGCTTACTAAGACTGGAAATAATTGCCAAGGTGAATTGGATACATAGTGTACCCCAACACCCATATCATACATTGTATTATACCATTCCCTGACACCTTCAATTGTGAGATCAGCAAATTCACGAATAAAGACATTTCTAAATATCTCTCTTGATCCTGCACCAATTGAAGAGTGCTTGATTGTATCATCAACATCAGTGATAAGACTGACTCCTTTTGGTTCAGTAATTTTAACTTCTTCAATCGCTGAAAGGTTTTCCGAAGCCAACACTCTGACATGTGTAGGAACAAACTCTAAAGCGGCTCGCATAATGAAATGACCTGCTTCATTTGTTTCTATTGTTCGCGATGAAGAATTCTTTTCATCGTAAAAGAAAACCGTAATGGCTGTTTCAACCTTTGGATTCGTAAGGAATGGTCTTAATCGTGCCATCAAATGAGCATTTGCTGTTAATAGCTCCGCTTGGGTCATTTCGGATGGTTGATTCCATGATATGCGTTTTGTTAGACGACTTGGAGCAGGAGATGACTCTGGTGATACCCGTGAACTGCCACCTCGCTGCCTACCGCGTTCACTATAGATACTATCACCATCCGATTCCCTTTTTGGCTTTTCACTATAATCACCCCGTAGTGCTGCCTCCTCCTCGCCTCGACCTTTTTTCAATATTTGTTCTGCTTCTCGGGCAATCTTCTCCTCATCACGCCTCTGTTCGAGTTCTCTATGCTTTGCTCTGAATGAATTTGAATCCGGACTAGTCTCTCGAGAACCAGATTTTGGTGCAGGTATCCCACTTAGCTGGCGTGCAAGTCCAATGAGTAACCTGTTCTTTCTAGTCATAGGTCCTCTATGAGGAGAGTAAAGCCATCCTCTAACATCCACATCAACTATAGCCCTATCATCCTCATATTTTTGCCATTCCCTTGCCCAATATTCCGCATCTCCGGGTTCGTTCAATTTGGGATTCATGTTGGCATTTTCAAAAAATGGTTTCTCCTTGGTATGCCTCCGCGCATATGATGGAAATAATATCATTTGCTCATCACCGTGAGAAACAATAGATACATCCGGAAACGAGCCTGGTATTCCATGTTCATCATCATCTAATCCACTACCTCCACCCCATTTCTCCGAGTATGATTGTTGATACGATTGACGAAGTTCGTTTGCAGCTTTGAAATACCCGGCCAACTTCCCCCTCTTTCCCCCTCGTTTTTTATCCTCCCCATATCCATCTGCGACATAGCCAGACATCGGATTTGATGATGGGTTCAGCTTTCTAGGAGTCGTCGCATTGTCTTTGGAACCGCCACCGAGGAATCTTCTCACCGGTCTTCCAAGGATTTGAAAGGCAGTTTTTCCCGCAGCTCTCTTTCTCTTTCGGTTTGACTGAGTCCTAACTATGTAATTATAGATTCGTGATTCGTGATTGTGCGCCAAGTTTGTAGGATGGGAATGTTTCGAATCTGAAATTTGTAAAGCGCTGGCGGATAGTCTGCCGGAAGCGCGAGAATAAGTATTGGAAAATGGATATTTTACGATGAGAATTACCTGTTTGACGAAATGAAGGAGGAGACACGACGAATGTGCGAGGCTGTCAGCCTGAATGATATTGAGTGCTGTGGAGACGTTCCAGTCCTTTTATCTAGTTGGGTGGGTGTTAAAAGGAACAAGCTAATAATACATAGCAAACCCAAGCGTGCTTATTAGTTTAGTTATGTTATGATCTGACAATACTTACTGGGGTTATGACGAAAAGTAAGGGCTGAGATTCTGATGAATTGTCTTTTATTGTACGAGTGAATAATTAAACATTGATGAACTCGGAAGTATAAAGTTTTGGGAAGAAAGGTACTTGGGCAGTGTCAAATGACATGTCAAGAGCCATCAAGATGGGAATTTGGGAGTATCCTCGATATGTTCATACTCGGTCCTTGGTTACTCTCATTATCCTATTATTAGTATGTATGGTGGTATGAGGGTATGAGGGTATGGGATTCCACAGAGATTAATTACATCCTACGTCACTTTTTGCCCATCCCAGCCCTACAATAAAATAAGGTTAGTTAATAGATTTGTAAGTTGGGTAAATTTACTACCAAGATACAAATGTAGGTAATACTGAAGTGATGACTTATATCAATGCTTCTTTTACCTACCACATACCACATACCACATACCACATACACATATTATTTCATCATCATCTAGTCACGGAGTATCGACAGAATAAACAAATATCTTATAAATGTGAAACTGTCTCTCTTGCAACCATGACAATTGGATCCAGAAAGTACTTGGTAAGATCTTACATACTAGGTCCTCCCTCATACGCATTCCATGAGAACCATCATCATAGAAACAAATACACCATCAAATCTAGAATCGATCGCCTTGGTGTGTGAGACACGTAGTCTCGGAATCTGAATTGTATTGATTTCTTAAAATACATAGTCATCTATGTGTAGTCATGTCATGGGGAAATGACCCAGACTAATTCCCGCTGCATCTTTCAACCAATGCTTGCTTGCCGTCGTATCATTCTCACTCGACAAACTCCCCCCTTTCCCTCAACCCTCAACGATAAAGTGAAGTAATAGCCTCTAAGAACGCCGGTGCCGTATTATTTTCAGGAGGATCTGCCCTTTCAATTTGCCTCAACACTGTACCCAGGCCTGAATGTGAATTTTCATTATTACGGGTTTACCCCGAAGGAATGTCAAGGAAGTAGGTGATACTTAAAGATTTACTTAATGAAATAATTGAATGAATGAATGTGTTGATGCGAACTGCCTCAGGTCAGTAAGTTATTAAGTTGGTCGTTTTTCCGATTTTTTTCTTCTTCTTTTCAAAATCTGATTATATGATCGCAATGATCGAAAGCTAATGTAGAGCAATCCTGTCGTTAGATACCATCAATGATAGTAGAGTAAGAGAGGATATGGTTCCGCACTGAATCATTATCCAGCAGCAACTACCTGCCGTCTCTTTGTGGATGCATTTTCAACGTCCTAAATAAAGTGTTAGTAATGCTTGGAAATTATCTGAGAAAAATCCCAATCAAGAACGAGATCTTCCGCCTTTAACCTTGGGCCATATCCCGGACGAGGGATTGGCTTTAACATACATCTGCTGAAGAACGCTTCTTTTTCTTTTGAGAACGAGTTGGCTTGACCTCGCCTTCAGTAAAGACGTCGTCTGGAAGGTCGCAGCTATGAATCATAAATCAGCATTTCTTATCATCTAATTCAAAAAAAAGGGCACAAACTTTCGAGTGTTAACGACAGATAAAGTGTTGAGCTCTTCGTTATACTTTTCCCAACCCCTACACACTCGCTTGAACTCATCAACACACCATGCAAGGTCGAGCGATTTAGCGCCTAGGATTGTTAGTAGCTGGGCCTCGGAATATATCATAGATCATAGAAGCTCGTAATTAGAATGCATATTACAAATACCATTAATCGTGATAACAGTAAGATCGCTCATAATTGTGAGGTGATGGTGGTGCACTTACCTTCGCGAAGCTCGAGGCCGATGTAAAATGTTGTTGTGTAAACCAATGATTCCTTTTTCTCAGGTTCGGATTTTGGTGCATCTCCATTCTCGTCCTTGACTTCCCCAGTCTGGTCCTTTACCGTAATTCCTAAATCTGTATCATGGGATGGGTCCGTAGTCACTACTGGAATTTCTTTGATCTGGTATTGTAGATTGCCCTCTTTTACCGATTCGATTTCGTCCTCGGAACTGCATTTGTGAACTCGTTCGAATCCTTTGTTGAATGGATGTGCCAGCGCAATTGATTCGTGGTTTTCTACATTAGCAACTAAAAGTCTAACTTTTGATTCAACCAAACCAGCCCATATAAGTTGAGCCTCCTTTGTAGTACTGGCGGAGATGACGGAGAGATAGTATTTGTAGTTTTTGGTGAAAAATGTGTGTTTGACGAATAAGTCTTTCCAAGATGCCTTGCCCATCATAATTCTATCCGTGATGTTGCCTCCACGAGCAAGTTCTCGACAGATAATCTCTTTGGTTGATTTTGTTATATTGTGAGTAGCGCACATGGAGGGATATGAAGGAGTGATGATTGGCATAAGATGGTAGCCGTCGCCTTTGTAAACCTATCAAAGTCAATTAAACCCGGACCAGGTTGCAGGAGAAAAACTTACTCTTGGATTCCAGACACGAACGTTAAGCTTACCACCTTTAATTGCCTGCAGTAAGACTGGTTGCGGCCACTGCCACTGAGACATGATACGGAAAAATTTGAGGATGACTGTAGAAGCGGTTGCTTGTGGATATAATTGACATACTCTAGCCACCAGCATAGCCCAGGCGACACCTCCAGGAAAACCCATAATGTTGGCATAGATAGCCCGTCTCTGCGCCCAAAGTTTGACTCCCCTCAGAGCAGTTCTGAATACTGCCTTTTCTGGTACCAAATTCAGAATGTCATCAGTAACTCGCGTTCCATTTAGAGAGCGTAAACCAGCTTCATCCAAGCCCGCTAATAGGTTGTCGTCGTTCAAGCTTAGGGACCTTGAAATTTGAGAAAGTACTTCGATGCGTGCAAAGATCAAATCGATGCTGATGCCTGAGTATTCAAACTTAATAATTGGTACGAAGGCTTCCGGAACAGGCGTTAGGTCTTCAATAGCTCCCTCTGGCGCCATTTCAACGAGAAGATCTGGGAAAAGTTCGAAATATTCTTCGCGGGAAACGTTCTTTGGTACGACAACCAGAGTATCGATATCAGAGCCAGGTCCATATACACCAAGTCGAAAACTGCCATATGTAAATATTCTACCACCGGCACTATTGACGACATTCTCCGGTAGGTTTTGCTTTCTGCAAACTCGTTTCACAAACTCTTCGGTAATGGATTGTAAAGAAGCAAGGACGGCGGATCTGCGCGAGAAGTATGTCAGTAATGAAATAGATAAGAATGAAGCAAGATGTTCCGAGATATCATTGATCTGCGGACTCTGTAAGAAACAGAAATAGTAATCGCATTCACATACCTTTTTTCGGTATCAGCGCGGCTTTCAAAAAGATTCTCTTTTGTCATTTCTTCAATCAGCGCATCAGTTGCTTGCTTCTCAGCATCTGTTGGAAGCGCGGTAGATAAAGGCGGAGTGATGCCCAATTGTCTGGGGGCTGCAGTTGCCATCCTGATGGAGATACCGAGACTGAAAGCTTTGAACTGGCTTCCAAGGCTGTCGAGACGAACAGCTTACAATTAATGTTGGTATCAATGTTTAGTTGTTTGGTTGTTTGGTTAAGGAAGATCGATAGAAAGTCAAACACCGGCGCGATCATAAATTGGTCTACTGGATTATCGTGCATAAGCGAATTATTTATTTATTTTAGGTTCACTCACTTTGAAAGCTTCACCCCCACTTGTACCATGAGGAGCGTGAACTTGAATAGCTGGAGTTTCCATGTGCCTACTACCTAAGCAGTGAATAATACTGTACGCCGTACCTTCCTTGTATTCACTTGATGAAGTTCCAAATTCTTTAGTATCCCTGAACTTCATCCTCTTGATGGAAGGAATTATCTAAGGTTTATGAAGAGATTAAATATACGACATGGCCGATTCTAATAATGCTTGGGAGGGCAACGAGGAAACTCAAAATGATCCTGATGAGAAGAGAGTTCTTCATCAAGCCTTGGATTCTTTCTAGTAAGGATAGTTTTATTTGATGACGGCATCTTTGAGTCCGATAAGAAGGAGAGATCCGGCTAGAATCGTAGCACCACCTGATTCATGGGACTATCAAGCGAGTTCTATCTGTGTCATGTTAGGGGGGACCTGTACGTGCTCGGTGAACACGAGAGCCAAGGGATTATGACATATGAATGCTCATTGATATACACATATGTCTCTTCTTATTACCACATAATACATGTACTCTTATTAACAAACACGCTAGCCACTACCAAAAGACCGCTCACTACAACACCACTCATCTACGAAGGCAAGCCTTCTATGCCTTACCTCGAGCTCACTGGGAACTTCTCGCATCACCACCCATTAACTATCTGGACACCTTAATAGCCGTCGACGACGCCATAGGTCAAAATGCCGAACTCTCAGAAGCGATCTTATCAGCGGCTCTACCATCCTTCAACCTTCCCTATCCCTCCTCAAACTTTAACCCTTCCACCAAATCTCCTGATGATTTCCGAGGCACAGCCACCTCAGGTGATCTCGAAAAAGCCCGAAGTACCCTCCGGCAAATGTATCG